CTAGAATCAAAAAGGCAGGCTAATCAGGGCACCTGGGCTTTAAAAAGGAGCTCACTTCAGTTTGTGGTGTGAGTGTGAGGAGCTGGGAGCAAGAGGTGCAAGGAGCTGAGCGTGAGTGCTGCTGGAGGACTGAGGAGCACAAGCGTTATCAGACACCAGGAGGAAGGTCCTGTGGTGAGACTAAGGAAGGTGTTTGGAGGAGGCCATGGGGAAGTAGCCCAGGGAATTGTAGCTGTCATGCAGCTGTTACAGGAGGCACTATAGACAGCTGCAGTCCACAGGGCCCTGGGCTGGAACCCGGAGTAGAGGGCAGGCCCGGGTTCCCCCCAAAACCTCCCAATTGACCTGGACTGTGGGTTCTTCCAGAGGGGAAGGTCTCTGGGCTGTTCCCCAACCCACATGGTGAATCTCTGAGGCAAGAAAATCCGCCAATAAGCGCAGGACCCACCAAGATAGAGGAGGAACTTTGTCACACTGGGTAATTGCGCTCTTAAATTAAGCATGCGCTCTGGCTGTGTAACTGCTGGCCTAATTTGTTGAGCATCTGGCTCTTTGCACGAATTAAGTGGCGGTGAAAGATTGATATCCGTGACACACAACATCCCCTATTCACTCATTGGAAAGATATGTAATGGGCAGTAGGAGTGCAACCTGCACCCCCTTCATTGTCCCACCAACGTCTCTCAGACTTACTCCAGCACTAGCAAAGAATGGGAAATATACACCTTAGGGTCAGTTCTGTCCTTGGCCTGTCTTCTGAGTATGCCAAGCACAACACAAACAAGATTTGCAGTGGGTTGTGTGTTGTGGATCTGGTCTGAGCTCACCGCTCAGGTTTGACATTGTGGAATTCACATCTTGAAACCTACCTGTTTGGTTACTGAAGCCTCTAAATAGCTGCAGTTATCCCTCTGTCCTGTACAATAGTCTGATGCACAGTGAGTCGGTTGCATCAATTCACCTTTGTGCTGCACAGCACTTGGAGGCTCGCCTGAGGTAGCTTTACGCAAGCATACATTATTCGTATTCATTATTAATAAAAAGCCGGGCTTTGGATTCCAAGACAGCCATTTACTCTGAGCTTCACCAACTCAGAAAACACAAAACCAGACAGAACGAGTTTATTCTGCAAAGACTGTTGGGAACTAAGAGGAGAAGGAGCAGATCACAGATATTAAATGACTCGTGTTCCATTCCCTGGCCACAAAGCCATTAGACAGGGGGTATTCATTAAGAGGACCTTTGGGAAGGCCACTTTTTAACTTCATTCTGTCGGCACCAAGCAAGATTCAGACTTTCCCTTAGAGCAGAGTCCGACTGCAAGGCTCACTCTCATTCTTGGAAGTGCCCCCAATGAAGAATGACTCAGCAATTAGGACCCCAAATGATTCCTCGCCTTCCTTAATAGACAGTATGTTATAAACAAGTAACGTTCATCAGGCAACATCTAGACAGTGAATTAAACAGCCTACAGAAAGTCCGTGCAATCCACTCCAATATATCCTATATCCTCTGTGGCAGAGCTCTGACCTTGTCCCTGCGGGTCCTGCGCTTCTAGGAGGTATATGCTAGCCTCAGTGGCTCTCTGTGACCCTCCACGTACCCCTTCTCTCTCTAGAGCCAGGGTTACAGTCTACTGAGCCCTTTTCATCATAAGCCAGCAAGGAGGTTGGTGAGAGAATTCCCACAGTCTCTGTTGTCCCTAGGGCTTGTTTTAGAACAGTTTTAGCCTCCTGTCCTGACAGGGACCTGACTTCCCCTCCCAGGAGGTGTTCCTGTAGTGGTGGGTTGGGGGGAACCCGGGCCCGCCCTCTACTCCGGGTTCCGTCCTAGGGACCCTAATGGTAGCAGCTGTTGGCAGCCAACCTTTCACTGCCAGAGTTGCTACATTTCCCGGGGCCACTTCCCCACAGCTCTCCTGCTTCTCCCTTCTTCACCCTTACCTTAGGGCTCCCTTATCAATAACTTGAGGGTGTCTTCATTAACCAGCCCTTCAACCACACTTCTGCTCCCCTCTGCCTGACTGGAGTGAGCCCTTTTTATAGTATCAGCGGGACCTTAATTAGAGTCAGGTGGTCACATTAGCTTAATGCCCTCACCTGACTCTTTGCAGGTTAATTGGAGTCAGGTGTTCTCATTAGCCTGGAGCAGCCCCTGCTCTGGTCAGTCAGGGAACAGAAAACTGTTAATCCAGTGGCCGGTATATCTGCCTTCTGCTATTCTGCTGTACCCAACTGGCCTGGGTCTATCACACCTCTTATAGGGAAAAAGGAAACTACATTTCAAGGGTACCGAAAACTATTGGCTTATAAAACCAGCCTGCTTTCTTGAGCAGACTGCAAATCTATAACGCACCAGCCATCCAGCACACTGTCTGCGGCACTAGGGACTCACCCAATACATGTCACTTGACGTTAAGAAACACATGTCGACTTCATATGCAGTGGTACTTTCCTGGAACATACAACGCACACCCAGCTAAAGGGCACTCCTACAGATGTACAGGGAAGACTATGTTGAGACAGATGTCCCAGGTTATGATGATTTTTCCATGAGGCTTTTAAAAGACCAATGATCACCAAGGAACAGTCACTCAGTGGGTTCATCTACAGCTGTGTCTAATAAGAAGACCATTTTACATGTTGTTATAATACATTTCTTCACTGCTTAAAATACTTCCTGAAAGCAGATCATTTTAGCCTTCCATCAATTCACCAAGAGGCATCAGAGATGCAGAGGCCAGCAGTCACCAAAAGAAGTTCTAGGGGACAATCCTGCCTCCATTGACAGCAAACGGTGTTTTGTTATTGACTTTAATGGAGCCAGGGTTTCACCCCTAGAATACCAAAGCAAAAATCACTCCTGGGCAGGACCAAGGTGCCATCTCACAGCTTTTATGGGGGGAAGGGGAGCACATGCCTGTAACTGATATTATAAGTCTTCACATGCACCCTGCCTTGTCCCCTCTAAAAATATCTATACAAAGATACATTCACTAGGACCTAAATTCCCCAGGGCAATTAATGATATTGGCTGCCTCCATTTCTGGCTAATCCACCTGAAACATCTGCATAGAGGACTGGCTTTCAGAGGGGAGGTGCTCAAGACCCTATAAGGTCTCTCGGGTTGGTCACCCAAAATCACCAATCACTTAGTTGGTCCAATAAAAGATAATACCTCACACACTTTGCCTCCCAAGTCACTTTTAGACATTTAGGCCTGGGCCGTCCTGTTGTTCAAAGCTGAGTTATTAGTCTGTGACTAGTTCGGAGACTTCCCTTCCCTGAAGACCTAGAGATTTCACATTGGTCACTTACTGGTTCTGTGCAGAATAGAGACAGTGTCGCTTCGAGCTCCATCCTTGTAATATGCCCAGATCGATATCTGGTATTCTGTGTTCTTTTTCAATCCTGGTAAGCTGGCAACAGCCAGGTTCCCAGCAACAGACAGCTGTAGCATGGAGGAGAAATGAATGTAAGTAGAGTTCCCAGGCAGCTGCAACTACCTGGTTGAGTATGGCATCTTAAAGTATCAAATGCTTTCATAACAAGAGGCACTGTTCTCTACCATGTCTCTTCTTACAAAAGGACTGATCACCTCAGATAGAATTATCTGCTCTTCGCATAAGGACACCCAGTATTTGCAGAGTTATAAAGAAATGATGGACTATCATCAGGACCTATGTTTCTGATGTCCTTGCAAAAGCCCAACTACAGTTAAGTTGTTGACCAGTAAACAGAAGCGGGGGTTAAGTAGAAGCTCTCCCAACTGTCTCCTGACTCCAGTTACCAGCTTTGCGATGCTGCTTCTGGAACCTGCAGGATGCTTTGTGAAAAGTTGTGTGGCCATGCCTGAGGAATTAGAGGTCTTCAAAACTCTACCCCATTCCCCCCTCCAGCCCCTATTTTTACTTTAAATGAACATTGCACAATAGGAGCTCAAAATCTCTTGAGGTTTAAGCCGGTGGCCAGGAGAGAAGAGGAAGTAGTTTTGTTTACAGATATCTCTCATTCTCTCTCTCACACACACACAAACACACACCCGTCCTGAGGTACTGCGCACTGATGTAATTTCTTTGAAGTCAATGGAGCAATGGTAATTCACACCAGCTGAGGATCTGACCCATCATTTTGCGTGTGGAGAAGATAGGCGGTACCTACATGCTGGCACAGGACTTCGGGGCCAAATCCTACCCTCATAGCTTTCATAAGTGTAGATGAACTAGGGCAAAATTTGGCCCTAGTTAGTGTTCTGTAGATGCCCAGGCAGTCTGGATATGCGGATGACAGTTAATAGTTACTTTAATACCAAGTCTTAGGATGCTCACTCAAGAAGCTCCAGTTACCTTGCACATGTCTGCAGTCACTTCCTCACTCAGGACTACACTTTGTAGACCACGTTAGTATCCATGTAGCCGTTGGCAGGGCATGTAATATATACATGCCCAGCAGCCCTTAAACAGGCAACACACCATCTGTGATGGAAGTGGGAATTGTCTGTAATATTTTTATGAACTACCTGTGTGACTCTGTACCTACCACCCAGTGGGCGTAGAAAGGTTAAAATGCTGCACCGGGACAAGGCAGGAGACATGAGGTGATTCGTCACGTAGCTTCTGGGAGGCTATGAATGGGTCATTAAGGACTGGCTGGAACCAACCTATATCAATGGAAGCTCCTATAAAGACAATGGGAACCCCAAAGAGCTAACTACTGGCACTTATCAATGGGAGCTCCCGGCGGGCTGAACATGTGACCGCTGCATGACTTTGCAGCAGGTGGACAATGGGCGGAGGTGACAGGGGAAGGAAATGACGATGGTCCCCACAGCAGCATGACTCATGGGAGCCCCGGCTTTCCCCAGTATGGACTATGTCTTAACCTTGCCTTATTTATGCTAACCTAAGCCCTTCCCTGATGCCATATTCCAGCTGACTAATAAACGCTTCTCTGTTTAGAAAAGGTGCATGGAGTCACTGCAGATACTTGCTGAACTGCACTGACCCCCGAAGGGAGTAAAAGTCTGAGCAGGAGTCTGCCACAATGGGCAGAACTCACAATGAGAATCAGGAGGACTGGAGCCCCAGGCGCAGCCTAGGAGGCATTGAGGCCCCATGGTCTACCCTTGGAGCAGAGTGTGACCCCTTGGAGGACTGGCACACTGAAGAGATCTTCCCACAGGACTGCTTAAAGGCCAGGGCATAGCATAGATCCTGTAAATCCAGGACACCACCTCATTCTCCCCAGGCCTATATTGTACCCTACCTCCTGGGAGCTCTCTTCTCCACTTGCATTCCATTTAATCTGATAAACCAGGACGTCAGAGGCAGCGGCTGCTTCCCATTGCAACTGGACATTGTTTCCTGAGAGCTCAGCCACCTTCAGGTCACTTGGTGGTGGAACCTTTACTGAAAGACACCAAGAAAACAAGCGTCAGGAGCTGGTTGTCCAGAGCCAAGGTACAGAGCAGATGGTCAGGGAGAAAAGTGTCCACCGGCAGCTGTCTCTCACTAGCCTGCCATTCGCTTCTTCAGACCCCAAATGAAAACAGGTCATCATGAGGGACCTGGATAAAATATTTGTAAACACTAATTACAGATGATTATTGTATTTGCGAGAGGACATGTGCAGTGCTGGCGCTGGGAGCGGGAAGATGCCGGGAATGGCTTTCAAGGACAAAGAGGTTAGTATTATGCCATGTACTAAACTCCCAGAGAGGCAAGAGTGTCTTCCTTACTTTTATAATTTTGGATGAATTTGTTTAAACTTTAGCGCTTCTAAGAGTTCACAGGACTCCCAGCGGCAGCTTGGGTGAGGCACGGTATAGACAAGCATACAATGCAGCAGACCCATCTCGGCATATAAATAATACAGCTGGACGCACACACACATCCTGCAAAGGTTTGTTTGAGTTTTGCCCTGATGGCTTTTACACCCCCTCCATTGGGTTCGCTCTCTGCGAATATTCTAACACATGCACGTTTTAAGCCTGAATGCACAGGTACCCACTCAGTTTGGTGTGCTCACTGCAGGAGAGCAGCAAGGACATGTGGGAAGGGTTTTAACCAGGCTGCAAGTTTATTAGTCAAATTACATCCAAGGTTCCTGTCGAGGGACAGCTCAGTGCAGTCACTTGACAACCCCTTGATCCTTTGCCAATTCTTGGGGTGCTCCCACCGTGGGGGTAGCCAGTCATCACACTAGGTGATTCCCTGCAAGCCTCCACCCACATCCCTCCCCCTTTCAGGGGTTGAAGCGAGAGAGGACTTTGACCTCCCAGCCAGCACTGCCGTAAAGTGCATTGGTGGGGTGGTCCCCCTGGTCTAGTGTCCCGTGTCCCTAGGGGGTTAGACATGATGCCCCCATCTCATAAGATGATGCTCTTGGGATCTGGAGCCTAAATCAGCAAGTTCCAGCACTGGGCCCCTGCCAGAAGTTGCAATAACTAAACGACTCTCCCATAGCTCCCAGCTGTGCCCTCTGGGAAGGAGAATTTCAGCCCTCCAGTTGCCCAAAACCCAACCCGTAGGTTTCACAGCGAAGAAGGCGAAAAAACCCACCAGCCTCAGCCACACCTGTTATATGGGAAAATATTCCTTACCAGTCCCAAAGCTGTGGCTACCAAAGCCTGCAAGAACCCAGGAAAGGGGCAGAGGGGCTGACTGCTGGAATGTCAGAATGTCACCGTCTGTTTGCGGATGATTCACAAATGGGAAAGCAGGAGGAATTATCTGAATAACTTAATTCTTGCAAATGATTTACCCAGATCTAGCTGTGATCCATTGGGTACTGTATAATAAGAATTAAGGCAGGCTTCTGTGTGTCTGTTTTCCCCCTAAAATGGTGAGACTAATTCTGCATTTGAACTTTCCATTACAAATATTTTCAATGGCCTTTTTCAATTTGCTGTCCCACTTTGGTGATTGGGAAACAGGGAGTCGCATCCACTTGAGGGAAGGAGTAGTAGACCAGCTAAAAGGGGGGGCGGGGAGGGATAGCTCTAGTGGTTTGCGCATTGGTCTGCTAAACCCAGGGTTGTGAGCTCAATCCTTGAGGAGGCCACTTAGGGATCTGGGGCAAAATCAGTACTTGGTCCTGCTAGTAAAAGCAGGGGGCTGGACTCAATGACCTCTCAAGGTCCCTTCCAGTTCTCAGAGATAGGATATCTCCATTAATTTATTTATTTTAAGCTTCCAGGCTCTCACATACACAGCAAAAAAAAACAGCATAAAGCAGCTAGTGATGGTGTGAGAACTGGAATCAGAAACAGGTGGAAAGTGCTGGAGGAGGCAGGTCAATGATTTAGGGAAGGACAAAATGAAATGTATATGGGAGGAACCAGGAAAGTGACTGAGGGAGAGACCCCCCAGGTGGAGCGGGGGGGAGAATGGGATGGAGGGAAAGGGAACAGAGCATACAGAGGAAAAAAGGGTCAGAGAAAGGGAAAGACAAGAGTAATCAACTAAAGGAGATAGAAAATGATTGAAAGGCAGAGGGATAACACGAGAAAGAACTGTTTGGGATGGAAGAGGTGGGGACCAAAGGAGGGAGAAGACACACACCCTTTGAATGACAGAGTTATTTATTAATTCCGGTGTTATTATTTCCCCAGCAGAAAAGGGACAACTGTATTTATCTGCTTCACTTGCAGAGTTTTCCTATACAAATAAGGCGCCGCCCTCTATGGAACTTAATGCAGCTCTCAATTGTACAAACTGGGGGTGCCCCCTGGTCCCTCTCCCACCATCAGGGAAGAGGAAGGAGGAAAAAGTGCTGCTGGGATCCTGTGCCAAATCTTTCTGGAGCTGTTATAAAGCTCTGCAGTGACCTGGAGGTCAAAGGCTCCATCCCATTAGCAGTCCCCTGACTGCCCTGACCACACTTAACAGAGCTCGGGAGACAGCAGAGTACTGCCTGCCCACCGCACAGAGCTGCACACAGTTCCTGCAGTGCTGGCGAGGCCCAGCGGGGTAACGAGCGGCCGGGAGTTGGAGGCATATGTAAATGGATGAGGACTCTGCTACGGCCAACAGGAGACTTCCAAGGGCTTGCCCATCGTAACAATCCAGCATCAAGTACTGGCTCGCCTTTGCTAATGGAAAATTAATAGTTTCTGCTGATTACATAATCCTCAGGAGAGACTGACAGACACAAACACCATCATTCTCCAGAGCTTCTTCAAGAGCTTCAGCTAGCGCCTCTAACCAGTTCTCCTTGAGGGGCCATCCCAGAGGAGTTCATCCTGGATGACAGAGAGGTACGTCGACACTGGAGGTGTCATTTCCAGCTTGGGTAGACATACGAGTGCTCGCTCTCACCTACCAATGCTAAAAATAGACACGTACCCACGGCAGCACAAGGAGAGGGACGGGCTAGCTGCCCTGAGTACAATCCTGCCCAGGACCCTACGTATTCACATGGGTGGCTAGCTATTCCCACCACCGGTGGCTACACATCTATTTTTAACATGCTGGCTCAATCAAAACTAGCACCTGTACTTCTACCCCAGTCAGAAATTACACCTCCAGCTCCACAGTAAATGTACCCTCAGACACAGGGACATATTCTGTTCCCAACTGCACCCACATAAACCCTAGAGTAACTCCACTGAATTCAACGGGCTTCAAAATACAGCCGGATGAAATTGTGTGTCTGAACCTTTTTTCAACAAAAGATGCAAATTGGGGGACACCAAAAACCTTTAACAAATCCCTCTCACTTTCACCAGATTGTTAATCTCAACCCCACCCCTCACAAAAATATTCTGAAAAAGCTGAAACATGTTTCAATATTTTCTAGATGTTTCAATTTTTCAGTTAAAACAGCTTTTTGTTCAGAAATTTCCTTCATTTTTATTTGAAAAAAAATCAAAAATGTTAAAAGTTTGAAATGTAAATCATAGAATATCAGGGTTGGAAGGGACCTCAGGAGGTCATCTAGTCTAACCCACTGCTCAAAGCAGGACTAATCCCCAGTTTTTACCCCAATTCCCTAAATGGCCCCCTCAAGGATTGAACTCACAACCCTGGGTTTAACAAACCAATGCTCAAACCACTGAGCTATCCCTCCTGCCCAAAATGAAATGTTTTGTTTTGGGTTGAACAGAACATTTTTGCTTGACCCCAAATTATTTTTTCTCCCCTAACTTTTCTGTTATTCAAGCAGCGCTCACTTAGACTATCTTTCTAAATGAGCTGGTCTAGGTCAAATCCAAACCAGTGGGCTCGGAGCAGGAATTACAGGGTGAAATTCTGTGTCCTCTGCTATGCAGAAGGCCAGAAGAACTGGCCAGAATGGTCCCTTCTGTCTCCAAGTCATTGCATCTATAAATAAATGCAGGATTTGACCAACAGACTTTACTGAGGGCAAATGCTCCCAATGGAGGATCACAGTTAGGAGTTGTTTTCTCAAATCTATGTATCATTCAGATGGTTACTGTCCAACTTCCAATGGTTACAAAAGTTAATTTCAAGGCTACCAAGCATTTGGAAATTCCGGTAGCCTGGTAAAGATTTCCCAGCAAAATGAGTGACTGTTTAGAAGGACCCTATTAAAGCAATCTACTTAATGAGGGTTTTGAATCTCAGTAAGAACCAGGTTCAGTGCCAATGAGACTTTTGGCCACATTGGGCTGAATTTTGGCCAAATTTGGGAGGAAAAAACCTGCCCTGACATGGGCAGAGAGAGACTCTGAGGAGGGATTTAAGTCTTTAGGTAGAAACTTGACAGAACTCAACAAATTTCAGCCTCGATTTGCTCTGAGGTCTAAGATTTGTTGGAACCAGAAAACACCACCGGTGAACATCCCGGAACTTTGGCGTCTGGGTCCAGATATAAACTTTTGGCTGGCTGGAAGCTAGGCACCAAACTTTATAATGGACCTTGAACCAAACACCTATTGACCCTCATACTCTGCCTCTGCCCTACTTACATGTGGTAACATTGCCTGTAAGCGGAAAGGATTCGCCTTCATTATAAATGGAGCTGACATTAATGAAGTACTGGGTGAGAGAGGACAGAGGTCTCAGCACGGTGGATGATGCACTGCTGGGAACTTCAACCTGCAGTGAAACAGAAACACCAGGGTCAGGATTGTAGCACGGAGCCAGGGCAAAGAGGGACTTGGAATTCGGGATAGTTGCCCCAAAACCCTCCCGTTTCGAGGCACCATCATTGTTAAAACGCTGTAGGCATGTGAGCAGCCTCTGTCAGGAGACAGCAGAGTTATCGACAGCACACGGTGATGGTGCCTCTTATGCAAAAGGAAAGATGGGGAGGGTTTTATTAGAGCCACACCTAGGATGCGTGACTCCATATGAAGGGTTTGGACCATGTGAGGAAATTCAGAAGGGCCTATGGAAGCGCGTGCCCGTATGTTCCCGCTGTGCTAAAAGGATAGATAGGATAGCACTATGGCTGGGGCAGGGCTGTTTCCCTATTACCCTGTCTTCTGGCAATGCAGGGGTCACACCCTTGGACAGGTATAAACCAACTGACGAATCAAGTCCGGCAGGGCTACATTCCATTCTCGGTTACACAAATGTACACCCGGAGTAACTCCGCAGCCGAGTCACTGGAGTTAACACCGCATTCGCACTCTGCCGCCGTTCTCACGGTTTTAGCACATTCCCGTGTCCCCTAAGCAAGGACTTGCCTCCCCGGCATTGCTCCCTCTGCTTGAGTTGTAGGTCACACGGTGAGCTCTCACAGCACGCGAAGCCGCGGCCCAGCTGACCTTGACAGACCCATGGCTGACCTCGGAGAAACTCAGGTGTCTAGGAGGGCTCAGTGCCACTGCAACAATAATTAGCAAAAGGATGTGGTGAAGATTTTTAAGGCTATACTTGTAAAGTCACTGGTTGCCTCCTGCTGCTACCTGCCTCTTAACTACTGGACTTTTCCCACTGCGAGATGAAAGAGTTTCTGATTTCATTGTTACACAGGTCTATATGATGCCCTGGGAGAATGACTGGTTTATGGGTAGAGAAAGGGTCAAATCAACCCACCTACTCCCCAAAGAGCTCAAAACTCTCAGGAGCTTTCAGTCTAGATCCTGATCCTAATTTTGTCCCTGGTCCTATTCCTACAGTGGGTCACACCTGCTGGGATAGGTGCTCAGATGCCATGGCGGTGGGTGCGGTATGAGAACCCAGGTGGATAAAGATATAGACGCAGATAGCTAACTTCAGTTCTGAACAGTTTGGGAGTAGTTTGGATCCAGATCTGACTTCCCCATTCTGAATTTCAAGGAGATTCAGTCACAGTTTGCCTGGACAGAACCATTCACTTTCACAGCCCCGTACCCCAGACTGGAGTTGTTCATGAGAAAGCTTATCATACAACTAGAGGTAGCCTCAGAGAACCACCAACATTTAGCATTAGCCAGGGAAGAGGGAGCCTGTTTACAAGCTATGTGAAAAATACGCGAAGCATCTCAGTTAATAAGTCTCTCTTGCCAATTGTGCACCATTCATTAAACCACTTATGCTCCTGCCTCAGGGTCAGCTGAGGCAGAGAAGGAAGTAAAACTTACAGGTGGTTTCCTGGATGCTGGCTGGATCACTCGCCTCTTCCCCGTACATGGCATACACCGCTACGGAGTACTCGGTGCTGGGAGACAGCCCATCCAGCAGAACCTCGGGCTGTTCCACTTTCACCTACCAAGGATAAAGAGTGACGCTCAGAGAGGTATTCTGGGGTGAGGCTCTACCATGGTTGGCTCCCCGTAGCATCCTCTAACAAACCAAGAGCAAAGCAGGGCTGCAGAGACAGGAGTCTAAGGCCACAGCTTGGCTGTCTCTTTGGGTACGTCTACACTTCAAGCTGGGGGTGTGATTCCCAGCTCAAGAAGACAAATTTGCACTGGCTGTCCTTGAGCTAGCTGCTTTAGGTACATATTCAAAGGGGTAGGGCAGATTTGTACTCAAGATGGCTAACATGCCACGGCTTTCCTCTGCCCGTGTTACCATGGCTACACTATTTCTAGCATGCTAGCTCCATGAAAGCTGGAGTGAGTAGGTCTTCTCCAGCTCAGAGTGATACACCCAGCTCCGGCTGTAAGACAGATCATTAAATAGTACTTGTAACACTCTTCACCAGCCACGTAGCTGTGTGGTGGTCAATGCTTCTCCACCACCCAACCCAACAGACATCATGCACAGTGTATGCAAACTCTACAGCTGGCTGGGAATTTTTCACCGGAGTATTTTTTCGACCCAAAAAATACCAATTTGTTAAAACCAAAACAGTTCACAAAAAAAGGTTGGTTTCGACTAGTTTTCCAACTTAAAAAAAAAGTCGAAATATCCTATTCTGATATTTTTAAACAAAAAAACCCTTCAGTTTCTTGGTTCAAAGTGACTCATTTCAAATTTAACTTAATTTATACTTAAAAAATGGTTAACAAAGAGAAAAGGGTCAAAATCAAATCAAGATGTTTTGATTGGTTTCCAAAAAATGTTCTCAAAAAGAGGCTGGCTAGCCGGTCTCGGATGGTTGAGGCGCAACAAATCCTGCATCCTGGCAGGGGGGTAGACTAGATGACCCTTTTGGTCCCTTCTAACCCCTATGGTTGAGACAAACTGGATTTTTTTTTTCCAGTCTGTCGGGTTGCAAAAATTAGATTTTGACTTTTTGTCCCAATTTGGGATGGGAAACATTTTTGAAATCTCAAAAGTACTTGTGGAATGGTAAAACCATTTTCTGCCCAGCCCTACTATACATCACGCCTCCCCCACCGTTCACCACACTCTGCCCTTGCTTCTGGGTGTACAATTCTGCTAAATAGAAATGAATGCCAATCCGGCTTGCTTAGGTTAGGGGTGGTAGAACTACAGTGGGGAAAGCAATGATTATTTTTCCTGAGAAATACTTAATTGAAAATAAAAATTAGTTTTCATTTTCATTAAAGCTATTCAGGTTTTCCTCCAAAGGCCAAAAAAAAATCAGTTTACTGAAAATGGCTTTGGGGTTTTTTTGACAAAAACCTAAAATATTTTAGGCAAAAATTTCAATTTTTAATGATTTTTTAACAAACAAAAAGGATATTGAAAAAATAAATAGATAGACATTTTTCGGTCAGCTCTAAATAGAACCTAGTAGCCCAGATTGCATGCAGGGACAATACACACTGCAGTAAAAAAATACAAATTAAAAATAAAAATCTGATCCTTTGTGAGCATGGAGAAGGTATCATAACAGACAGATCACCATCTCTTTCATTCACAGATATTCAGCACAGAAAAACATCACAGCACAAAGATTAGGGGAAGAGATGGATTCTCACAGGATCCAGTTGTTCAAATGAACTGTCTCTAAGGGTACATCTACACTACAGGGGGGAGTCGATTTAAGATACGCAAATTCAGCTACGTGAATAGC